GAACTAATTCTATCTATTTTATTTTCACCTATAGCATCAAAAAAATAATATATTTTCCGAGCTCGCTCTGTTTTTTTGCGTAATGCATCATCACTTATCTCTTTTGGGAGTTGGTTTCTAACTTCATCATTTACTAAGATTTGAGCAACTTGTTTTTTGTGATTTTTTTTATGGTATTTAAGATGTTTTTTAAAATTATGGCCAAAATTATAATAGGCTCTAATAACATCTTGAATAGCTTTTTTATTACCATCTTCAGCTTTTACAATCTGGCGATATAAGTTAAGAAAATCAACTAACTCAGGATTATTTTCACCAGTAGGTACTGAACTTGACTGTGTAATAATATTTTCTGTAGAATCTAAATTTTCGGTAGTCAACTCATCAATTAATTTCTTTAGATTTGTAGGTTCTTTTTTTATACCTTCTTCACGTAATCTTTTTTTAGATTTTGGTTTAACAGTTTAGGTTCGTTTTGTATAGTCTGGAAATAATAAGAGATCCAATAAGGTGGGGTTAGAAATATGTGTTGTATCTGAGGTTACTATATTCTGGCTCTGATCAGACACTATTTGTGCTATTTGTGGTAAAATTTGCATTAGGTCCAAGGTACTTTGCTTAGAAGTGCCAGAATGCACATAATCAATAGATTCAATTTCTATTGCATATTTAGGGCATTGCAGGTGATCTTTTACATAATCCTCAAGACAACTACGGTGGTATATATGTCCACAGATGAGTATGGTAAATGGTTTTTTAAGTTCGTACAAAAAAAGCTTTTCTTTATACCTTGAGCATGGGTCTAGTTCTAGAACTCCAATATCTTTTGCAATAGCATCTGGTGAGCTATTCTTAAGAATATTCAATGCAAGAGTTTTGAGACATGAAATATTTTTCGGAGTTGGGTCAGTAGACATATTCAAAGATAAAAATTTTTACAGTTGAGAGTTAGAATACAGTATAAAGGGTTATAAATAGATAAGTATTGCAGTTAATTCTATACTCTGCTCATTTTTATTTATTATGTACTTTCACGACTAACAAAACTAATTTACAATTAAAAAAACAATTTCAGATTTGGCGATCTATTTATTTACAAATTATTTAGTATGAACTAAGGACCGATCGATCTACTGGCAATCATGGATAATTAGTGAAGAAAAGGGGTACACACTTCATAGATTTTTATTTTATATCGATACTTTTCTACCTGTATTAAAAATAGATCACTTAATTGTAATCTCAAGGATAGTATTAGGAAACTTCGAGAAAATTTATTTTTGAGAGGGGGAACAGTGGCTTAGCAGAAAACCTTCTGAACTAGTGATCACTGCTTCAGACTTGTGAGACCGCAATACTAGTTGCGGGTAGGGATCATCAAAATATATATCATAGTTCTCGTGAACTTCTATGAGTATTTTATTATGTGTTTAGTGACATAATATATTTTTGCCCGATGCTAAGTATTTACTACAGTGCGGAGTGGCTATAAACAAGAGAAGCCCTTTTTTTCGCAAGCTCAAAAAAAAGATATATTTAAAACTAATAACTTACTATATCTGGCTTCGAGCGATTTCTTTATGAGAAGGCGGTGCCTAAATTGAAGATAAGGTATTTTGGTATATTATCATTATAGAACAAACTTATTCTAGTACTAGTAATAAGATTGGGGTATACGAATTCTTGGAGGCTTTGGGATTATTAGATAATAAATTTGAGTTAGATGCCGATAATGATAGTGATGAATTCTGGCTGTCCAATGATGATGACGATGAATTTTTGCTATTCGATGATAACAACGAAGAAGATGATGATATCAAAGATGATGATGTGTTTTCTAGCAAATTATATAACAGATAGGATTATAAAAGATGTTTTGGTGAAGATGCTTTAAAAAAGCTTTATCGAGACCAGGAAGCTCATCAACATTTTATTCTTCTTAGGCTATTTACCATGTGTCTTTCTAATTTATCTGAGCAAGCAAAAAATGGATTATTTGTCACATTTTCTAGATCTAATTCATTTGAAGTATTAGAACACAACGCATTATTGGATGCTATAGCTCATCCTGTGAAAGGTTTAAATCTTTTCAAATATGATGAACTTGGGTTTGATTTAATAAACAATGCGAAATTGTAACCAAGCTTCTGAATATAGTTTAAACCATATTTGGTCAACATGTATCAAGCATAACTATTTTTTCTCTATTCTTGAATATTGGACATGTTTAACATGTGGATTCTATTGACTAAGGCTTCGCAAGCTCGAAAAAAGATCTATCTGGGTTACCAATATATCTGAATTACCGATATATCTGGCTTCGAGTGATTTAATCATGAGAAGGTGAGATTTTTATTTCACTTCGATATTGCCAATTTATAAGAAAAAAAATATTAATATAAAAATATATCTCTTAATTGTAATCCTGTCTTCTTGCAATGTTTTCTTAAAGGAAACTATAGTTAGTTAACAGATTTTTAGTTTCTGAAACAATTAACTATATATCTTTTTTTGAGCTTGCAAGAAAAAAGGAAAATAGTATTAGGGAAACGATGAACAGCTAGCGATCACTGCTCCGCAGGAGATGATATTTTCTATAACTGAATATTTATTGTGCCAGAAAAAAATCTATAATATTTATGTAAGTACTGTGACTTTTCCTTCTTTGTTTTGCATATAAGCACCGTATCACTAGTTTAGTCACAGTACTGACTTAGACCTGATGATTTCGGTTGCAAAGAAGACAAGTGAGGCGTACGTTCCCTTTAATATACTCCAAACTATTGTAGATTCGATTTACTGTCCACTGAAGTATATCTCTTGGCTGATCCCATTCGAATTTTATTTCGATAAAACATGATGCGCATCTTTCTTTCTGAATAC